CAGTACTAGTAACATTTCATCTTCTATTTTATATTACCTAATACTAGTGTATTATATTAGTTACTATAATTCTATTGTTCAGTAAACACTTTCCCTTTGCGACTCATCACATCAATAACAAACAACAACAAAACTTTCGCAAACAGTATCATTTGTATAACCACTTTTCCCGGATCTTTCTCTTTTGCAATATAAGGTATTTTCCACTTATAAATTACCATTTATGAAATAAGAATTAATTTTGTTAGGTGCATGTCAATGTTCTGTTTTATGATTTCGTTATTCCGGAAAATGGGGTCGGTAGTTTTCCAGCTGCTGCAATGATCAATTGAAGAAGGAAAAATATGGCAAGCTAATCATAAATTCCGGAATTCTGGATAAATAAAACTTAATATCACTCACTTTTTATACTAAAAATGTTAGCTTATTTAAAGTTTTTCCTTTCACTTTTTTCCAGTTTGACAATGTTAGCTTACATAAAATGTAAGTTAAAAATGTTAACTTATTTTAATGTTTTCTTTCAGTGCGACATTTAGAATTATGAATTATAAAATAGATTTTAACAACTGTTTGGTCAAGTATTAATAAAGATATCATTGGATGCTGTTATCGTAAGCTTATTTCATTTATTTATACTTACTTATTTATACCTATAGTGAACTTTAGACATTTTTTCTTTCAATGCAAAACTTTTTGTTTTGTCAGGTCAACAAAGGCAGTACTTTTAAACACAAATAGCATTTTTATACTAAATTATTGAACCTTTGAACTTTGAACTTATTCTTTTGTATAATACTTCCTCGATCAATCATCAATGAATTCATTCTGAGCACGACCGCTTATCATCATCACTTACCTGGATCGAGCAATATGAATTTCACCGCAGTTTAGAAAACTGCATTTATCCAATGAATTAATTTGTATGAATGATAGATTATGAGAAAATGTTGAAATAACTATGGATTATAGTTGTAGCAGAGATTGAGGGAAAAAAACGATTTCATGGGTGGAGCATGGATAAAAATAAACAAGAAATACTACTGTCAGAGAATGTAAAAAAATGTAGAGAGCGAAACGCAGTTTAGCAGAGACTGTTTAACAGATTCGGTAAAGATCGATAAGAACAATGGGAAATGACTACACAGAGAGTAAAACAAAAACAAAAACACTTTATCTCTAATGAGTGTAAAAAGATCAATACGAACAGTGGAAAAAAAGCGATCATATAAAATAATCATAGTAGATAATTGTAGCAGAACTACGCATTGGAAAGAGAGGAAGTCGGGAAGAATTTGCGAGAAATAGTGTTGTAACAGGTTAAGAAGGGAATAAAGGAATTGTTTGTGGATAATATTTTGGCAAAGAATGAGAGCAATGAAAAAATAGCATTACTATAGAAGAAATGATAAGAATTGATAAAAATGAGGGAAAATATCTTTCAACAGGATGTGAAATATCCTTACTAAAATGATTTAAAAATTTTTGGGTACACGTACGAGTTGCGATTGAGTTGATGTTATATCCTTGATAGAATAATTGATTGATTAAATACAGTTATTAAAAGTAATTTCAATGAAATGGTTAAATTTTAATTGAATATTTGAAGTAATATTTTTTTGATAATTAGAAATGATTTAAGAAGTGTTTGCGATTTGTTGTTTGCGATGCGAGTTGCGATTTAAGCAATTGAATTAATTTGAGCCGTTTGAGCTTCTCGCCAAATTTTGAGGCAAATATTTTGAGTTTTACGTGTAAAGTTTTTTTGTGGTAGGAATTATAAAAAGTTAAGGAATATTCAAAAGTTAGACATAAAGCATGTGTAATTATTAAAGATGATTTCTACGGAATGGCTGAATTTTAATTGAACATTTGAATTTTGTCGATTTTTACGAATCGTTAATTATTTTGAATGAACATTGAACATTTAACATTTTCAGCTTATTAAGTAGTGATAAAATGTAATATATTTTTGTACGAGATATGAATTTAAAGTATTATTCGATGATTAGAAATAATTTGAGAAGTATTTGTTTGGCACTTACAAATTTTTGACTTCAACTTGAAAGTTATTTTACTAAATATATGTATGAAATGTGATAAGTATTGAATATTGGATTACGTATCATTCAAAATTCTTTTAACTTGAAATTTCAACACTTAAACTATTAAACATGGAATTTGGGAGTTAAATAAAGATGGAAGATGTGCTTTCATTTGATAGATTGTCTTTTTCATATTTATTATCTAAGAAAAGGTTTCTTTTTCTTTCTCTTCTGATAAAAATGATATTTTCGATAAAATTTTTCGGTTTAAATGATTTTTGCGACTATTTCTGTGATAAATAGTGAAATTTCAGAGTCCGAATGACAAGTGGATGTTTGGTAAAAAATTTGAAAGCTGTGACAAACTTAGCACCAATTCCGGTTATTACATGGGATCGTGCAGAACGTATCCGACGAAATAAAGAAATATGGGACAATAAGGATTCTATAGTACATCGTTTACCTTATCATTATAAGAAACGATACTGGGAGGTATGAGTCAAAGTTTTATATCGGAAAAATTGCTGAAACTTTGAATGAAATGGTGATGAAAAAACAGAATTCGTTAGTATGAGAATGAGGAAATTAATAAAATCTTTGTCATACTTAAGTAATAGTTTGGTAGTGTAATGGTAGAAATTCGTGCATTTCTTGAATAAAACAAATAATGTGAGTGAGAATGTACAACTAGAAGAAATAAAAATACATAAATGTGCTCATGTATTTGTTCTCTTTTTGTGCTCTTCCAAATGAAATATTAATAAAAATACATAAATGTGCTCATGTATTTGTTCTCTTTTTGTGCTCTTCCAAATGAAATATTATGTTATGAAATATTTGTTAATATTTATTGCAATTGAAAATATATGGTTTTTAATGTTTGCAGTATGTACTTAGCGAAGCAAAACCTGTACATTATCGAAAACCAACATCCAGATATGAATGGGATGCTAAGCGTCGTACGATGGTAGAAGTTGAGGTTAGTTATTTTGAAATATGTGTTAAGTATGATTTATGGATATCTAGCATAAATTTCCAGTGATATGACATAATCAGAGGAATAAAGGAAGCAAATATTGGATTATTTTGAAAGTTATTTATAATTAATTTTCTAGAATTTCTTCCAATGTTTTTGAAGTTTATGCTATCTCAGCAACTTATTTCTATAAATTTTGAAACGTCTAATGAGTTCAAGAAATTGGCTGTTATCCATTTTTTTTTAGCCTTTTTGTCTACATTAGGTTTGGCATTATACGTGAAATGTGTACATTTTACAGGATTATCCGATAATTGGTTTCCATCCACCAGAAGCTGATAATGGATTATGGGGTGGCGAAACGGTAGTGAAAGGTTACGTACAGTCACGTCCTTTTACGAAAAAAAAGGTAATGTTCGATTAGTTAGAAATTTAAAATAATTTTAGATAGATTCATTTTATTGTCTAAGTAATAAATTTGTATTTCAGATTTTACCAAGGCATTGGGTGCCGCATTTTTTCTTCCCAAATTTGAAAAATGTTCTTACATATTCGGAAGTTCTGGATAAACATATGAAGATTACCATGACGGAGCGTACTTGTCGCTTGATCGACCAACATTTTGGGCTTGATTTGTATTTATTAGAAACGCCCGAAATTGATATTGCTTCAAAGTATGATTTCTTTTGTTTAGAAAACACAAATGTCAATGTTCATCGAATTTAATAACCTTCTACTTAATCCTTTTAAATCATCAAGTATCACAGATAAGTTAATCATCAAGTGTCACAGATAAGTTAATAACTGTTTGTAGTTTGAGATCGCTTATAACTTTTATAATAGTCGTATGTTTATATTTTGAACTTCTTCCACTTCACTATTAGTGGTCTACACAAGTGATATTTTTTAGGCTTGGCAATAAATTAAAGCGTGAAATTCTACTTGTTTTGGCAAAAGGTACTTATTATCCAAATGATCCAGAACGGCACAACTTCATAAAGCAGAAATATGCGAATTTTGTAATACCATTAGAAGAAGCCGACTGGATTGGTTTAGATTTAAACGAAGCATGCAGGTTTGACATATATGTTGTTGTCATTGAGCTATTATTTGGAATTGGGAACGGATATCCTAATGTATTTTTGGTATTTTTGGTTTATCGATTTCCGATGTTTGTTCTGGAAAAGATGGAAGGAAATAGGGTTAACTGTAAAATCTGAAAGTGAATATTTGCCATCCTTTCTTTTTTCAATGCCTTCTACGGTTTTTTTTTTCAAAGAGATTTAAACTTATTGGGATGTGGGAAGAAAACTTTTACTAATGTTGAATTAACTGTGCATACAGTAATATCATTTTTAGAAAGCAACAAGAAATAGAAGAAAGTTTCAAACCGATGCCAGAAAAGTATAAATTTGAGCTTGATCTAGTTAAGCGATTGGCAAGTGGTGAAGAGAATCCGGACCATGATAAAATAATCAAGGAATTGGAATCAGAATCACTTTTCGGTCAGAAAACAAGAAATCTGGTGAAAAATGCAACACAACGGTTGAAAAAAATGGTGAATTAGGTCTAAGATGCACGTTGATTGTATTTATATTGGTTGTTGATTGTAGTTGTGCAATTGATTGTGACTTTATTAATACCCTTGTAATATTGTCTTCATGATGATATGTTTATATAAATAACTTAATGTAATGATAGGAAGTTTAGGGGGTAGCGGTAGATATTTCGTTAAAAAAGTGTTAGTATCTCTTTTTTGTTCTAAATCATGCTCATTTTTTTATTCTGAAATGCTAGTAGAAATTATGGAATTAAATGATTTGGAATTTTTAAAGATTAACGTCCGACTTCCTTAATTTCTTTATTTGTTATACAGTTGACCTTATTTTTGTCATGTATAATGTTACTTTGTTTACCAGTATTGCACGTTTCAGATCTTTCAAAAGATCAAGAACCTAAAAAAGAGAATAAATAATTCCAAACATGCATCTTTTGAAACATTAAGCATGCCATCGTTTTTCTTTATATCTATAATTATTACCTAAGCAAACGAATTCTACTTATCCTTTTGATTTTTTTTCGCGACATCTTTCAAAAGTTGTTTTGTATTCGGTTGAAAGTATTGGAAAGTTCCGAACTTTATAACAAACAATAGAAGATGGAAAATGAAGGATAAATGAATTAACAACAACTGATAATCAACATCATTGGAGTCAATTTTTTTTTCCTTATTGGTGAATTGAGCATTCAGTGCTTCCTTAATTCAGATTTTAAGTGCATTTATAGGGTGCTTTGAATGGCTGATTCAGAAAAGCACATAGTGGACGACAAATCGAAAACAATTACTGGAATAACGGAACTACAATCAAATGGAAATGCTGTAGTACGGGAGGTAGCGAGTGTTGATGATATGAATGTGGATCGAGTTTCGGATGAAACAAACATTACTCATATGGAAAAATGCCTATCTAAAAAACAAATACGAAAGTTAGTTGGGATTTTATTGAAAAACTTTAAATACTTTTGTTTGTTATAGAAAAGACTTTTATATTCAACTAACAAGGAAAAAATGCAAGATGATGATTTTAGGATGAGAATAAAAATGAGAAATATAGATGAATTTAGGATGATTTTATCAGCATTAGTGATGCTTATATTATATTCTATGTAGTTTTGATTATCTGTTCTCTTTTAGTGCATAGAGAATAAAGATATTTATTATGTTTAATTATTCCTAATTTCATAAATGTTATAATTTTGATCTTTTTTCTTTTCAGACTTAGAAAAGAGCAGGAAAAGTTATTCCGTAGAAAAGATAAGCGAGTTAGAGAACGATTGAGGAAAAAAATGAAACGTACTGCACAACGTGAAGCCGGTTTCATAAAATCTAAACGGAGACATATATGGTAATTTCTAGCTTGAAAATTCTCATATTTCTTAGCAATATTTGGAAATATATATTTCATTTTACTTACGACTTTTTGTTTAGGATTTACATTTACAATTTCAGTTATTTATGTAATAATTACCTTAATTTAACTTCTAATTACAGCCGAATGGAAGATTCAAACTGTAAACAACGGGTTGCTATCGATATGCAATTTGAATCTTTGATGAGACCGAAAGATATTCGTCACCTTTTCGTTCAGTTGGCGCATGCATATGCTGTAAATCGCCGAGCTGAAAATCCTTTACAATTCAGCGTTGTTGGCTTTTCTGGTTCTCAGAACAAGGTGTTTTGTTTTGTTTTTTTTTCTTGTTTTTTAAATGTATCTCAGACACGAAATTTTATGATTACTTTTACTGATTTGAAATGAGAAATTTTGTTTTTAGCTATTTTTTAACAATCCAAACAATCATCATTGGGATGTAGCTTTCGAAGAACAACCTTTGGATGCCGTATTTGAAAAAAGTGAGATTGTCTACCTAACAGCGGATTCGGAAAATTCTTTGCAGACACTCGATGGTTCAAAAGTGTAGGCGTATAATTTCTTTTCATTTTGAACAATCAGTGCAGTAACAAGCAAATCAGTATTTCAGAGTCCCATAATTTTGATCTTTATCTTTGCTATTTCGGATATGATGAAACATCAAGAAAGGTTTTCATTTGAGTTTAATTCTATAATTGTATTTTAAAGTGTATATTAAAGCCTTCGGATCACATGAAAGTTTTGGATATTAATTTAATTTTGACACTCTTAGACTCTCATTTCATCCTTGACAAACAACTTGAAATGTTTTTCCTTTTTTAATTTCTTACTATAACTTAAATAGGAAAGTTTCTAGATATGTTATTGGTGGTTTGCTAGATCACAATTCTCTCAAAGGACATTGTTTAAAGTTAGCAATGGAAAAAGGGTATGCGCATGCTCGGTTACCTATTGCTGAATATATTATGTTACAAACAAGGAAGGTGATAAAATTTCATCGCAAATTTTCTCAGCAACATATCAATGATGATAATTTTTAGTCATCTTTTTTGGAAGAGCCTTGATTTTATGATGTTTCCATAAATTTCATCTGGTAGCAGTAGTGTAGTATTGTTTGGGTGTATCGCAGAAGGCAACACTTGCCATTCAGAACTTCAAATACTAACGTTTGATGTAAAATTCAAGCAAACAGCATTATCGAAATATAATATCATCTATTGGAAGAAATATATCAGTAAAGTAGCTGACATCATGAATGTCATACTGGTGACTCACATTTTGATGTGTCTAGTATGCAATTGCAAAACATTCATGAGATGCTTTTTACTGAACAACAGTACATTCCTAAATAATAGGAAACTTTCATACGTTTTCTTGAAATGAATAGATACGTGACGTTAGCAATAATTTTTAAGCAAAAAATGTTTTTGATTGGGAAAAAAAACCTTTTTTAGCTGTAAAAAGCCATATTCATTCATAAAAGGAAAGTTTCAAATTTCTTAAAATATTCAATACATATAAATGAAGTGTAAAATGTTGTTGTTACTTATTTCAGGTGTTAACGGTTAATCAAGTTTTTGAAATCCTATTACGCTATACGGAAAACCAATCGTGGAAAAAATCATTTCTTGATGTGATTCCGAGGAGGAAAGGCATCGTTGATAGTAGCAAATGTTCCGATAATATGGAAAGTAAGAATAGTATCGAGCAGCGAAAAAATGATATAACTGGAAATGTTGATAATATTCAGCCGGAACTGGATTAAACAATTAGTGATTATACATAGATGTAATATCAGTAAAAAGCTAGCAAAAGATGATAATCAATTTGAAATGGTAGAAGTGGTAGTCCACCTCCTTTTTTTTTTGTTATATATGAAATGTTATGTAAAAACAAATATAAACTCAAATTAAATGACTCAGATTAGATGGGATTTGAATTATATTATACAGTTTTGTTGAAAAAGTATTATTAAATTTAATTCATGTTATAGTATATGCCATTTGTTTATTAAGTTACATCAGATTGTTATGGTAGTAATCCAATATTATTGGCAAATAAATTTATTAAACTTTACAACTGAACTGATGATAAGCACATATTAATAAATGGAAATATTTCCATTTTCGTCTCATTTAAATCTCTCTCCATGTGAATTTGAGTTGAACCAAATTCAATTCTATAATTTAGTACTTTAAGAAAAATTTTTCTAGCAAAAACAATAAGTGATTATACCTTAAGCGTTAATAATGATAATTGTCACTTCTATGGACGGTTTAATATTTCACTTTTTATGGCCCATTAGTTTGGGGCATTTGGTACTTTCTTAAACAAGGACGAAGGTCAAGTTTATGAATAAAGAAGAAAATAAACATAAGAATACTGAATACTAATAACTTTTGCAAGTATACAATCGTCTACTCACTAGACTACAAATTTTAACTAATTTTCGATTAAATTAAAACTTTCAGTCAAATACAGACCTGATCTATTATAATTCACGAAAAATTATACGCTAGCATTGTCTTATACAATTAAAAAGAAAAAAAAATACATAGAAATAAAGTTTTCCTTTTATTTCATGCGAAAATTATCAGCTAATTTGGCAAAAATTATTTGATGCTTAACGGAAAAAATCTTCTTTATAATATTATTTTCCATTTTCTTTCAAACATTTAATGGATTTATAAGCTAAATATAATCACAAAGTTTAATAAATAAAAATGAACTTTACAAGATAAACATTTCAAATGAAACATATTTCAAAATTGTAGCACATTTATTGGTCAGAATTTCTATTATCATTCGATTTTATGAATCATTAATAAAATGAAATGAAGTTATAATAAATTTGAAGTTTGATCAAAATGATTAACTCGGATCAAAATTCCTTAAAATTTTCCAGGATGAATAATAATTTTGAACCTATTTTTAATTAACAACTTTAGGCACGTCTCGCAAAAATTAATTATCACAATACTTCCTGATCTTAAGATAATTATTTAAAAATGACTAATGAATTGATTTCAGTTATGAGAGAAGCAATTTGCAAATCCAAACATTATTTCAATCATTGTTTTCCAGTACATTAGATGGTTAATTCGTATAAAATCAGAAAAAAAGAAATCTCAATTGCTCTTTTATTTGACAAGTTATTCCTGGTATAATAAGCAATTTATAGAACTTCTTTATTTCTAAGCGACAAACTTATGTATAAGATTTATTCCCAAGTGACGAAACTAAAACTTTATTTCCTTTTTAATTTTTTTATTTCTACTTTAGTAAACAGTTTATAGAACTTTTTCATTTCTAAGTGACAAACTTCTATGTATTAAAAAAGGGAAAGAAAAGAAGTAGTAAACTTTTAACTGATATACAATTTCTCATTAATTTTAATTCGATTTCTTATTAATTTTAATTCTATCAAATGATTAAAATTAAGAAATTTTTAAGTGAAAATTTATTGAAGAAACATCATGGAATGTTCTAAGAAAAAAAACAGTGATTCTGATGAAATAATAATGAAATTAAAAAAAATGAAAAAAATAGCACAACGGAAATGAAAATTGCTAACTAATTGATTAAATATTTTGTTGATATTTATACTTTATAGGAAGTTATTGTAACAATAAAAGAATAAACAATTTTTTTTTCTTCTTCCGAATTTTAAGAATTACACTTTATCGTAAAATATTTCAAACATTCATTAAAGAACAAGAAAAAAAAGGAACTGATTAAATCAATTCATTGTGAATAGATGAGTCACTCGCATAAAGCTTTTTTTTTTCGTATCAAAGTGATAATAGTTTATCATTAATTAAGCTTTTTGTAAAACTGTACTGATTGTCATTGCTATAGGCATTGTATTGCTTTTAATATTATATGAAATAATGGAAAATGGTAAATATTGAGGAGTGAATTGTTAAATTGCAAGAAAAAAGACAGGAAGAAATTTCTCTTTTTTTTTGAAGGGTAAGGAGAGAAAAAAAATAAGGAATTTCTAAAGACCAAATTTTAATAAAAACAATCCAAACACTTTTTTTTTAAAAAAAAAAAGGCGAAAGAACAACGATTTTCTTCTGCTCTTTTATTTTTCTTTTATTTGGAAAAATGCTTCACTTCTAATAGGAAATGGTAAATGCAGAAATCGGTGATACTTGCATAAATAAGCTTAATTATTATCAGTATTACAGAAATGTCACCTCTAGAACAGTGGGTAAGCCATCAAATGTTCCATCCTTTTTCCACCCTTTTCTTCTTTGCTGTAATAAAACCTGCTCGGGCATTAGCATTTTCTCCACCGATTTCTCATCATTTTAGACATATTAATAATCAATGTTCCCAATTAAATTAAAATTGGACAAAAAAATATAATGGGATAAAAAGCATAGTAAAAGATATACTGTCATACAGATACAAGAAATATATTGTCACTATGATAATTAATAAATTTCACCAGGAAATATTTTTCATATGACTGTAATCATCAGAACTGCCAAATTATTTAGCATAAAATATTTCAAATAATATTTAAGTAATCGTACTATAGCAACTGATATAAGCCCGCATAATTTCAGAGTGTCATATCATCCATTTTATTAAACTCATTAATTGTTTACTGAATAAAAATTCAGTTTTATTACCATCAATCAGTTCCAATTTTACACGCAATATTCCTTTTTTTCCAATCCCAAAATTAGAAAAACGAGAAAAATTTACAAAATGAGACTGAAATTCAAAGAAACCAACCAAAATGAGCACAGAACAATAAAAAATAATTATTAGCCTAGCGCTCGTATGATCCTTTTTTCTGCTATCATGTTAAGTAATAGTTACTAACCATTTTATGTATGCATATATCATAGCAAACATAATTCTTTCTAAGCATACATACATATTGCTGCAGAGATTATAAAACAGAAAGAGAGGGAAACAAAGGAAATAAGGAAAGGCAGCATATCTAGCGTGCAAATGCTGGTACAACTAAATTTATACTCAATGAATAAACAATTAAGCTATCGCGCTATTCTGTACGAAAAAAAATCTTCTTAAAACCAAACCTACGACAATTACGGAAAAAAACCAGATAAAAATTAATTCCCAGGAAAAGCGTGATGTTAATTGTAAATCATCACTACGGACGGAGGTGATGGAGGCTGGTGATTGGGACAATGACCGTCTGTGATGTAAAGTTTCAGATATATCAGCGGAATTATCCAAGACAACGTCATTTATCGATGAGGCATCACTTGGAACGAATAAATTTTGGTCATCAACTGCTTCCTGCTTTCTTGCTTCTTTCCCCTCCTGCAAAAAATGTCCTTAAATGCTATTCAACTTCGATACATCACTGACAAACTCAAAATAAAATTCTGAACAGCATCCATTTGGATCATCTTACGTAACATATCTCCCAGTAATCAGGAATACTGAAGAATCCCATATAAAGCCATGAATCTGGTTGTTCAAAAAAATCCACAAAGCTAATCGTCCAATTCACACATCAGTTATGATACCAGTGATAACTTAAGAATCTATTTTAATAACATGAAACGATATTAAAAATATTGCATCTACAAAATAAAATTCCACATATAAGCTAATCTAATCGAATTCAATGCTTTAATGTTTGCAAAATATTTGCTAACTTTCATTGAAATTTGCGTAGCCAAACGCCGTGCTTCTATGGCATCTGCGTTATCGCCAGATACCGTTTTACTTGCTAATGCATTTCTCATACACAGACCACATTCCTTACAAACCCATTCATGGCTTCTGAAATTTGTTAAAATACACCAATTTACAACACGCCGCTTTAAAACAACACTGTATCCATCTAACAATAACAGATGAGATATGAAATAAAGCAAAGACTTCCTCTTTCGTTCTACTTTTTCTTCCATTTCCAAATAAGAAATCTCGTAAAGCAAGGAAAAAGAAAACTAAGCATACATTTTAGCAAGCCTCCGACGTTCTTCTGATGGATACTCCAACGAGCCTAGTGCACCAGCTGCATGTGTTGGCATAAAACCGATAAGAGCCAAAAGTGCGGTTCGAACTGAAATTTGGCTGAAAAAATTATAAAACTCATTCTCTGTCAGAACACTCCAAGTCTGCCATAAAAGGTCAAAAGTATCATTGGTTGGTTATTCTAATAACTTATGCATTTTGCAAACAAAAACTAATGTGAGATAACTTACTAGACCATGATGGTTGCCAAGATTCAGGATGATGACCTGAAATGCTAAGACATATCTTCTGATTCAACTGGAAGCGACCATTTGGCTGCAAACAAGTCTTTGTAAGAGTTCAGTTGTAATTTAGAAAACAAAATGCGCAAACAATTTGAATAATAAATAAATATCGCATGTTTTTTTATCACTATGTTAATCGAAACCAATTTGCCAGAAACATCAGACGAAGTGAAGAAATGAACAGTTTGGACAAGTCGCAGTAACAGAATTTAAAAAGCCGAATAAAATATTTTATAAACAGTTCAGAAAATTAGAATTTACAAACCTACCGTAAGCAGTATCACACTTGGTGGTTTCATCGGATAATCCACTGGCAAAAGTATTCGTCCATGATAAATACCATTTTCGAAATCCGTATCGGCCGGTCCACGTACAGTAAAATGCCACTCGAACAGATTATCCTGAAATTAATTTTTTTAATTTTGTAAAACGATAATAAAGAAAACCAGAAAAGACTGCTTGATCAAGTGATGTGATAAACTACTATCCAATTCATTAGTGATATAAGTCTACAGTATTTCATACCAAATATAGCTTGTAACTTAGTTGAACACACAACCGACAAACCACTAATTATTTGATCTAATTAACCCACACGTGATTAGATGCCAACACTACAACTACTTTAGCTAAAACTATATCTGAATGACTAATCAGAAGAAAAGCACAAAATCTTAATAACTTATTCATTACATAATTACCTCAAGTGGTTGAGCATAGTACATATCTGTTGGATTGCGTAATTCAGCCGCTTCTTTCATTAACCTCTTCACACCTGCAACAACACAGTTTCTTTCTCTTATAAATCTCAAATGAAAATACGATAAAAATCAAACAACCATAATACGACGGATATCAAAATCTCAGAAACTACGAGATTTATTCTTTACCTAAATCACCAGTAAATGACCAACATAATCTTGTATCAATTTTTAAATATTCAGTAAGGACAAGGTAAAACTTTAACGAAGCGAAAAAAAGGAAAGAAAATCTCTTACCTGTACTTTTCAAGTTGTACTGTGATAGATTTGAGGTCATCGCAAGAGATTTTGATCTCTGAAATGATTCCTTTCAAATAATGTTATGTGATAAAAAAGAAACAAAAAACAGCACACATAATCGCTTAAAAAATACGTGACTTACATGACGTAAAATCAAATAGTTTTAAAATTAAATTTCAAAATGTTGTAATACATACAATATAGCTTTCAAAATGATATGCTGACATGTGATCACATAGATGTTATCTAGCAAACTACTATTGATCAACTGATAATCATTTTTACAACAATGACATCACATCATATCAAATGTGAACTGCGTTCAACAGGGGGTATGTTGTAGGGGTGAGAATAGGATGAGAAGGGGTGAGAAAGGGTGTAGTGTTCAATAATTGCATATATATTTGGTTAATTGTATAATGAATATATTTGGTTTATTATATAATGAATATATTTGGTTTATTATATAATGAATATATTTGGTTTGTTATATAATGAATATATTTGATTAATTATATAATGAATATATTTAGCTAATAACGTGACATAACTCCCAAAAATTTATATTTTGCGTTGACTACATAAATTCCAACGTGCTCCATCACGTTATTCACGTATGTGAAATACCAATCAAGTTATGTGCTCTTAATATATTTATGTTACGAATACTTTTTACGTGGCTTATATACGTATTATTTTCTTCTGAATTTTAAAATGACAATGTTTCGAGTAAGTAATGTACGCCCATAACTACGGAATCTGAATGTTTCCATACAATGAAAAATTACACTACCGGTTAGAGCAATCCTCACAACGCCGAGCAATTAATCTGAATTTTAGTTAGCCGTGAAATACTGGGCGGCCTTTGAAATAAAAAAAAAGAAAAAAACCGGATGTGAAACCGGTTTCCCTTTTATATCTTCGTTTTTTTCTTCTCCTTACTAACATGTCCCTTTATTTCCTTACAAGATGTAGGGGGAAAGTTAGGAAAGAAAATTAAGGATATATTAAATGAAAAAATGGTCGAAAGATAACTCGAGGATTTCCCGGGAGTTTATTCGGTGATAATTGAGCAAAAATCGTCGTTGTCTAATTTTCTCATTTTGTTTCATTTTTTAAACAATGTAGACTTTGTTCATATGATTAGTTAATTAACCGATCAATAGAAAAGGAAAAAAAATGCAATAAATGCTTTCCAGACATTTATCGTTTGATACATTATCGGTAACGATTCTTCAGGACGGGGAGGAGCAGGAGGAGGAGGAGAAGCATGAGGTATAAAATAATGTTAAATGCTTCCCTTTTCTCTGATTCACTGAAATTCCTTTGTGACTAACATTACTTCACTAACGAACCTATTAGTAATTGCGAAGTTTTATGTGAAATTTCAGAATGTTTGATAGAAAGTCACAGGATTGATCGATTGATTAATTAGTCATATACAAAATCTATATTGCTCAAAAAATAAAACAATAAAATGAAAAATCAGAACAACAAAAACTTCTATTCAACAACTCCTGAATAAACTTCTTGGAAATCTTCAAATTACCTTCGAACCACTTTTTTTACACAGTCTATCCTCATTTTTCCTTTCTTGCCTTATATAAAAGGATAAACATGTTTAATATAACATTCACAAAGTATTTGAATGAAGTTTTGATTGCTTAGCTCCATTTCACATTAATTTTGGAAGAATTTCGGCAAAACTCAGGAGAACTATTTAACACTAAAGATTTCAGGAACATGCAGTATATTATGATCGGTAAACGGATCATTGATGTAACGTTACCGTTATGTGTATCAGCGAAATTCACTGCAAAAAGACGTTTTGCTTCTAAAATGTTTAAAGAGAAGTATGCGAAAGTACGACCGTTCAAAACACCAACGACGATTGCAATGGATAATTTCGATTTCTATTACGGGCCTGTATACGGTAATGACTGGCCGTCCATACGTTTAGGATTGCTTACACCGAATAAATATTTTGCTGTGTTAAATAAATTTGCGAGGTTAATTACTTATAATTTTTCAAAAGGACTGGAAACTTTCGAAATTTACCCATATTATCAATAAAAAACTCCCTTCATGAGAACTTCTTTCATGAGAATTTCCTTTGCTTACTTTGCTTTTTGAGCGTTTCATTTACAACGTTTAAATTCCATTTTCGAAATTATTTAAGTCTGATGCTATTTCTTTTCTTTGTTTTTATAGAAATCGAGAGGAAAATGAGGCATTATTAAAAGATCTCGGTGCATTTAATGTCCTCGAAAAAATCCAACGACAGATTGTCAAGAAAAATAATACACATGAAGAATATGAGGAACCGGTACTTTCAGGTGATACATCGGAAGCTAAAGATTCGATAAATGTACAAAAGGTTTCTTGTTTATATATTTCGAACTGATATTGTTTGAAATTTTCAAATTTTATAAATCAAATGAGCAAATTTTATAATATTTCATTATGTAACACATAATATTTATTAAATTCTTTGCGCTAAATACGCACTATTGATAAAGTTATGTTTTGATTTAGATACAGATTCAAAGTGAATTGGATTCTGCATATATGCGTGGTGAAGGAGGACTGGGATATTTTCGACAATCTGGTGAAATTACCTCATTAGAGGAACGGACTCGCCTTAAAACTCAATCATCGAAAGATGTAAATATCAAGAAAATTAAGTATGACATTTTTAATGGTCTTTTTCTGGTCTTTATAATTTCTTTGAATATTTATCATATCGATATTTCTTTGATTAATTTTATGCTTCACTATTAAATTTTATTAAATTTTGTGTCTGGATATTTCATTATTGAAATACTTGGATATTAAATTTATCGCGTGAATATTATTTTATTAGATTCCGTACTTGAATAATTCATCACCGAATTTTGCTCTAAAATTTAGTGCAAATTGGAGTTAATTTGTTTCAGTATCACTGGTTTCGAAGGACAGTACGTTGAGTTGCCTACAAAAAGTCATACATTAACATATCCAGCTGAACTAGCAATATATTCTTTTCCAAAAGGCGATTTATCCGATTATCCATCCCCTCCGAAAGATGAGGTTGGAACTCCAGGTGAAATTTCAGCATGTTGAAGTTTTAAAGGTATTTGATTGAGTTCTCCTCTTAACAATGCATGCATGTATTTATTTACCTTTGTTTCTCCCCTTTGTTGTATAGACGAGTGTATGGGGGCTATGCATTTTCTAATATCCTATGTTATTTGTTTCAGGTTGGTGGCTTCTTGATGGTGGGTCAATTGCACCTGTCCTAGCTTTAGGTTTAACCGAAGAGTCAAACATTTTAGACATGTGTGCTGCACCAGGTGGAAAGAGCCTGCTAATCGTACAGACTGGTTTGATGAGTTAGTTATTTGCACTATTCATTTCTTCTAATTCAATCAAATTTTTCATCTTTTAAAGATGCACCTCTCTCATTACTCTTATATTATGTATACTGAAAATTTCTCTAATTTTCTGAATGATTTCATCAATTTAAAGGCAGTATGCATTTTTCCGAAGTTTTCAATGACTTAATTTTATATTTTTTTCGTTTCATTAAAATTTTCTCTCAGATTAAGATCATGAAGTATTGGACTGTTTGATTTGAAAATTGACGCGGTATTACTTTATCAAAAATAATCCTTTTTTTGCTGTTTATTTATTTTTTAGTATCGAAGTATTTATTTCTTTAGTGTTATATATATAATATTGTACTATATTATATTATATAGTTTTTTTTCCTTTTTTAAAGCAAAGTTAACATGCAACGATAATAAGCAAAGTCGCCTGGGTAATCTGCATCGAGCGTTGGGACAATATATACCGGTAAACTCAGAAGTTGCTGATCGGATAATATTGAAAAGGAAAGATGCATCAGTATTAGATGGTTGGGATGAATGCAGCTCTTACGATAGGGTAAGTATTTGACGTATATTTTTTACTGCATTTCACATTGCAGTGAAACTTTTGGAAAGATTTATATGATCTATTCATTTTTGTATTTTCTTTCATCTCATCAATGTTTTTCTATAGGTTAAAATTATGAAGAATCATGTGTACTTGATTTGAAAAATGATGTAGTATTATATATGTTTACTAAGATTCTCGTGGATGTGCCATGCACTTCGGATCGTCTTTCGGTGAACAGAGATGATGGTAATTTATACTCCACTCAGCTGACTGAGCAGCGTTTGAATTTACCACAAGTACAAACACGAATGCTTGTGTATGTTTGAATTTGATAATTTTGTTTAAAGCATCTTTGTTGATTTACTTTTTGTGTATTCAATTTCCAACAATTTCTTCAAAGCACTCAGTAGGCTCACTTTGGATGTGACATTATAATGTAGGATTGATAACTTCTGGAATTATCGAAACATTCCACGTCATATTCTGGAACGTTTAACATGATGCTGGAAGGATGATTAACGCTTGTGGATTTGCAATTTAACCATGGCATAAATTAAACTGTGCAGTTTGACGTTTAGAATTTTACTCCTTTTAACAATCAAGATTACATGCAGCCATTCAATTATATCATTGCAATTTAAATAGTGTAATCAGATAGTTGTTGGGGCGATATGATTGTATAGGTCTGTACCGAATTTTTTTCAGCAATGCATTACGATCTGTTCATGTCGGTGGTTCTGTTGTCTACTCAACATGCGCCCTGTCTCCAGTGCAAAATGATGGAGTTATTGAAAATGGTGTAGCAATAGCAGATGAATATTTCGGAATAAAGGTAAAATAGTTTACATGTTCGCAAAAAATTGGCAAACTGCTACCGTACAATAAACAAATAAAAGATTGATGGATAAGTTAATGGAGTTGTCATTACAGGCGGTGGAATTGTCGTTGTCACAAATGGTATCACATTTCAAAAACATCTATCGATTCAGTGATAAACCTCGTAGGGGCTTACTTATACTTCCTTTTTTACCTTCTAATTGCGGTCCAATGTATGTTTGTAAGTTGCAAAGGATTCAATAAGTCAGTTGATATCATGAATAGTACTGAAAATGAATGGATAAGCAAGGCTATAGCAACCAAACCAATATGTTTTGAAGGAGATTTGGTTTGTAAGGGTGCATGTGAGTCAGACTACCACGCATGTCAACTGTTACTAATAGGAATAATAGTACTAATATCTTCCATTTATTTTAGAGAAAAAAACAGTGCAAACATAAGGCCTTGAGAATAGGAAACCTGAACCTAACGATGATTAGTGAATAAATTGTTCTTGATTTAAAGAATAATCCGTGCCTTTTCTATCTATGAAATTTTTTTTAATTTGATGTCGAAGTTTAATGATTTGCTATCAATTGCAATTTCTGTTGTGTGATTTTTGTTTTTGTTTCCCCTTTTTTTCAACTGTCGGCTACCAGTAAAGTATTACTGATTATTTCATTCACGATACTATTATGAATTAATTTACAAAATGAACATAGCATGTACTATAGGACCAGAAATTTTTATCACTTATCAGTATTATATCATTGTCACTGACTGGAACTTTTAGCATATCAATACGCTAGAACTGCTAGAATTGTCAGCAGCTGTTGTCACTGCTATCAAAATTTAGTGTAAATGATAAAAATCATATCACATAACGAATAAAAAGCGGTATGAAAAATAAAATTTGCAAATTGGAAATTCGAAGGAATCTATTAATTGCATCAAATTGAGTCGTTTGTCCATATCTCTTTAAAGTAACTACGTAGACCTAAACGCTTACGTAGAGTTAAACTCTCACGTAAATTTAAATAAGTTCGTGGACCCGTTTGATATACAATTACAACAATTACAATCAGCCTATTGTACGTTGTACAATGGAATTATACAAAAACAATTCAGTATTTTCATTTACGAGAACAGAAAGGAATTTGAGGTAGTCATATAAGTGAAAAAAAAAAAATTGAAAATGCTTTGAAGTAATTCCCTTTAGCGGAATTTCAAATTCAATTACTTATTACCAATCACCGTACAAGTTATGATGCGTTTCTAAGTGTTCTCGAAAACAATCACGTATTTGACGAAAATTACTCAAACAGAACAAGTATTTACCGTAATCTGTTGGTACTCCATTAGTTGTTTCGCAATAAACTTGACATGCTGGCAGTACACCTTTTCGGATGCAACAGTCTGTATGATTTTGTTTCGATGAAGCACAATCCCACATTTGACCAACTGTTGGACCACGTGGTTGACAAATTGACAAATAGTAAAGAACCTGAAAATAATAGTAAACTTAATTATTTTGAATTTGTCAATAATATTTTTATAATGCAATTATTTATTAACTTTTTATATTTTATAAGCAATTGAAGCTAATGAAAGTTAATTTAGTAAAATTAATTTAAAAATTAATCATCTACGAATCATTTTTTTGTACATATTTATCTTAAACTCTTATTATTTTCATTTCAAAATAGGAAAGTCAACTTTTGATATTTTGAAAGAAATAAAAAAAAAAAGCAATAAGATTTTCCTCCTCTTCTCTTTTTTTTTTTCAAATTTTTTATTTTTATCTGCGCGCTTTTCCATTCTCTTTCATATGCCTTATAGCAAATCGATTAAAATATATGATTGAAATTTATGAATTTTTTTATTCGAAAATGAAAACCGTTCGAGGCTCTAATGCATCGAAACCACAAAAACGTTTTTTGCATTCTGGATCTGCTTCATTCAATCTGGAGCAACATTTCTTAAGACGTTGTTCAGCATTTGATAATGATGGATCAGTTGATTGATAAGAATTCCAGAGTGGAAAAAGTTGATTAGATTTCCCTGATTGAATAATATTTGAAATTATATTTAAATTTAAACGTTCTTGTTGTTGATAAATGTTTTGATTGGTACTATTTTGTAAAGGTAAATTTTGAAAATTAAGCAATGGTTGAACAGTAATTGATTGAATTCTGGTTGAAAAACGTTGTTGCAGTAATGGTAATAATATTTGTCCAGAAATGGTTGGCTGTTGTGATGAGGATTTATAAACCGGTTCAGTTGTATATGTTCCCAACAAAATTTCTTGTTTATTCCGTTGTTGTTGTTGTTGCTGTTGTTGTTGCTGTTGTTGTTGTTGCTGTTGTTGTTGTTGCTGTTGTTGTTGTTGCTGTTGTTGTTGTTGTTGTTGTTGTTGTTTGTGATAATATATCGATGAATTATGCATCCTATCAATTAATTCAGTAATTTCTTGCCCATTAATAATTGGATGACGTATTGGGTAATTATT